CACTGATGAAATATCTAATAATTTAAGTATTTTATAGTATTTTGAGGTATATAACATGAACAAATAACTAAACTTTATATTAGTTGTTGAATTTTGATGAAATTCAAATTTTTAAAACTTACCACACTTTTCTGTTGGATATAGAATACCCTTTTCGGTTGTTACGAAAGGTTTAATATCCGTGGTTAAATTCTTTTATTGTATTTTAAAGTTTAGAAATTCTGAAATACATATATACCAGTTAAGATTTAAAAAGTCCTCAATACAAAACAACATAATTAAAAACTTACCACCTGGTTCGGTGGGAAATAAGATTCCCTTACGTTGTGAAGGGACATTAGATGGTTGGTTTGCTAATGCAACTTTTTTCGTTTTATCTGAAAAATTATATCAATTAAATAAATTTTTTTAATAAAATTTAAGTGTAACTGTAACAAACCTTCTTCGTAAGGTTTTGTCCTTGTAGTTTTTTCTGATTTCATGAGTTTTGGAATCCTTACTTTGGTTTTTCTTTTCGGATGGGCCTGGTATAATATTCTTATGTTTTCACTTTTCTTGGTAACTGTACTATTATTTTGTTTTGAAATATCGTTAGAAACTGCTTTATGCAAGGAATTTTTTTTAGACTTAAGAGAATTTTCATTTGCCATGATGGGGTCCTCAGCTATTGGAACTAGAATTTTTAAATATGTTAATATATTTGAAATAAAATTCTGAAGTTCAAGTTAATATTGAAACTATTTTAAAAACTGTTCTTAAAAGAAATTCTACAACTAGTACCGAAGTAGAACATAATTTTCCGACCCTATAAATTATGTATTCTGAACCATTATATATAGCAAAGTTGATTTAGCGATGTCTTGAAAAAATGTTTCTGAAGTCCCCAGATATCTTTAGGATTCAAGTTTTATATTATTCTATCTTATTATTTCGAATAGTATACTAGACTATGCACTAAACTAAAGACTACAATATAGACTAGACTATATACTATTGATTTAGCGATATCCGTCTCTCTATTCCTAAGATTCTTGAAAATAAATTCTCAAGTCACCAGATATAACTGTTACTTGTTTTATTAATTTTAAGTAGATTTGGACTCACCTTTTACTGAATTATTGTCTCCACTTTTTAACATCTTTTTATTTTGATAATCATAATTTGATTTCGTTAAATGTTGAGTTTCCAAATTGTGTATAGTATTTTTAATATTCAACTCTATCGACTTTACATTTGAAGGCTTTCGGTCTAACAATAATACATTTTTAATCCAATCCAAATTTCAGGTATTTACAAACTTACCACTTAAATTAATTGGTTTGATTTTAATTTCGATTACGTTCTGTTTAGAATTATTTCTATTGAGTTCTAAAGTTGGAGTCTTGTTAAGATTAAAATCTTTTAAGTTTTGGGATTCCATAAATTCGACATGAACTGTTTGTTAAAAAAATATCATCAAAATTTATTATAATTGCTCAGAAATAAATATTACTAAGACGAATGCTAACAGAACCATTTTTATAATTATAAAACCAGTGGTGGTGTTAACATTACTTCTTGAACTTCTTGAACTATATATAGTTTATAACAACTTAAAAGTTAAAAAAACTAATTTTTAGGTTTTTAAATGGTAAATAAATTCAACAAAATTCTTACCTTTTTTGGGTGGCATGTGAGATTGTGAAATACCTGGATTATTGTTTAATTCTGGAATTTCCATTTTTGAAGAACCTATAAAATAACAATAAAAATATGCATATTTATATAAATTTTCTTTAAACTTACCTTTCTTAATCGACAAATCCGTTGTTTGCAGAACAGTTTTATTTATAAAGTTTTCAGTTTTTGGATCATCAGTTAGTTTATTGGACTTACAACGTTTACATTTCATTTGGGAAGCTTTTAGAATTTTCACTTTAGATCTTCTTCGTAGAATTTTCTTCTTACGTTTTTCTATTAATTTTTTTACTTTAGCTGCATTTTGTATTTGCGTTCCGTCACCATCTTTGCTGTTTGAGCTCATAATATTTCGGGAAATATTAAATTGGACTTCTTTATTGAAATGCAACGATTTAACATTTCTACTATCTTGAAGTTTTAATGACTTATTTTGAGAATCTTTCGAAAACATCTTGTCTGGTCATAATACTTCCACATTCGCATCTTAAAATTCGCCGCAACCCATTATGTTTAAATAGAGAATATCTGAAAATTTTTGATAGAACTGCAAATTTGGAAAACATTTTTTTTTTTGGATTTTTTATTAAATTTTTATGAAAAATAATTTTGAAATTATGTTTGTTGAAAGAAAATTTTCTATCAACTATTTTGAAATTTTCTTTGATAACATTTCGTATTTGAACGATGAATCAAGTGAATTTAAAAACATTTTTATCAGTTGGGAAACAGTGGAGGAAACATTTTAAAATTTTATTTAAAACAATTGCTGTATTTAAAAATTTTTAATAATTTAGGGTTAAATATATGTACATATGGGTGTATGTAATTCAGTTGGAGACTCCTCCAACTTTATTAGAAGAGTTCAAGGTTTACTAATTTCTTTTTTGGGAGAGTTTATATAGAAATGTTTGAAAAAAAATGAAAAAGGCTCCTCAAACTTCTTTAGATCAGTTTGAGCTTCCTCAAAACTTCTTTAGAACACTTTGAGGTTACTTAAAACTACTTTAGAACACTTTGAGGTTCCTTAAAACTTCTTTAGAACGTTTTGAGGTTCCTCAAAACTTCTTTAGAACAGTTTGAGGTTCCTTAAACTTTTTTTGAACAGTTTGAGGTTCCTCAAAACTTTTTTAGAATAGTTTGAGGTTCTTCAAACTTTTTTAGAACAGTTTGAGGTTCTACAAACTTTTTTAGAACAGTTTGAGGTTCTACAAACTTCTTTAGAATAGTTTTAGGCTTCTTAAAACTTCATTAGAACAGTTTCAGGTTCCTCAAACTTCATTAGAATAGTTTGAAGTTTCTCAAACTTCTTTAGAACACTTTGTGTTTCTCAAACTCCTTTAAAACAGTCCGTGGTTCCTCAAACTTATTTAGAACAGTTTGAGGTTCTTCAAACTAATTTAGAACAGTTTTGGGATCTTGAAACTTCTTTAAACAGTTTGTGGTTCCTCAACCATTTAAATCTTCTTTAAAACAACTCTTCGGACTTCTTGGGAATAAATTAAAGTTCCCGTATCTTCTTAAGAACTGTTTAAAGTTCTCCAAATCTTTTTTTCGAACAGTATGAGGTTCCTTAAATTTCTTACCAACAGAATGTGACACCTTAAGCTGCTTTAGAACAATTTAAGATTCGTAAACATCTGAGGTACTGTTAAAAATGTTTCTTTTTATCATAGTTACAAGAAAATCTTTAGAACAGTTCCATCTTCTTCGGCCTTTCTTAAAAGAGACAGATACTTCTTAGACCGGGTTTTTGAGTTGGCAATCAAATGACAATTAATAATTAGATTAGTTAATCTAAAAATAAATTTAATCCAATGTTAATACCATTTGATGTTTTTGAGTACAAGATTAAACTTCGCAGCATAGAAAAATAAATAGAACTGAAACTGAGAATAAGAAATATTACTCTCTCACATGTACAGGTTCTGTGTGAATTTAATACAATTGTATGAGTATTTTTATTTTTGTTTACATAAAATAACAAAAATATGAAAGTACAAAATGTATCCGAATACACCATACCCTACCACATTGCGAGTAAGTAGCAATAAGTTATTTAGTATTTTTTAATGTAGAAGTTATATTCAAGAGATTGATGTTTGCTTAATTAATGAATGTACTACTCATTATAACAATATATAGTCAAAATTTCGTATATATAAAATTTGTTGAGTCGAATTTTATAAATACTCTATTCTTGTATAGCATGTACCGCTTACAAAAAAGTTCAATAGGCTAATTTATGGGCGGATTACATCATTACATCGACGCAGGTGTTACAAACTTTAAGACGTAAACAAAATACCGTTCCCATTAGTGTGGTGTAGGGTGTATTTTGACTGCATTTGGGCTGCTTTGAAATTAACAATAATCGTTCATATCAAGCGTTAATTTTAGCATTAGCACAATTCCTTTGGCAAAATAGCCCCTGCTGCTGCAATAAACACTGCTAAAAGTTATGTTTTCCCATAAAATTATTGAAAACATTTTCAGAAAAAAAAAAACAAATTTTTCAATCGTTTTTATTTTTTAATATTATTTTCAAGTGTCAATATCGACTCAACCCAGCAACCACAAAGAGTTTATTTAAAATTAAAAATAATTTTTAATGAAGATCTTTCTTACATTGGTCAACTGATATTGAATAAAAATGGCTAATTCAAACCATTATTTCATAAAATATCGAAATATAATATCAAACAAAAATATAAAAACTTTTTAAACGAAAGAGTTTGTGTTTGTTGGGTTACATATTTTTCAACTAATACATTCTCACGACTTAGGTTTTTGACAGCAGACTTAGGTTTTGTTATACTCAGTTTCAGTTCTATGTATACCTTTTCTATGCTTCGCAGTGTTGCCATACAAAACAACAGAAAAATCAAAACAATGCATATTTTATAAAAAAGAAGAAGACAATTGTAAATTTAATATGAAAATTAATGAAAACTTAAATTAAAACAAAAAAAATGTATTTTGAAGTGTCCATAATTTATACTAATCAATAAATAGAACATTTTAATGTTTATATTTATAAAAATTTTATTAATTTTTTTGCATCAGCTGTTTACACTTTTGCATTTCGTGCTTAAGATTAAACCACCTCCATTAGGCGCTTAAACTTGCAAACAAAATTAACTAATTGAGTACTCAAAAACATCTTTCGAGGATTAATTTTAATTTAATCGCTAATCTTTCACCTAAAGATTGGCTCTTAAAGGTTTCTTTAGAACAGCATGAAATGCCGTAAACTTTCAGATTACTCAAACTTCTTCAAAACAGTTTGAAATAGCTAAAAATTAGAAGGTTTCCTGTTAAGAAAAATTTAAGATTCCTAAAACTCTTTATAAATGTTTGAGCAGATTCGTGCTACATCCATAGACAATTTGCATTGCATCCCACTGTTCCAAAATCGGTTTATTATAACCTTATTAAATCTACAATATTTTCCATTCCTGGTTCATACATATGAATACTGTTAATAACATTATTTAATGCTGTTCAATGTCTGCATGTTTATGTTAACTAAAATATAATCCATCTTTTTCACTCGCCGGCAAGTAATCGACTATGTTACGGTAAATAAATGCATTTATTTTGTTTTTATTCGCTAGTGGAGCTTTAATCTACCGCTAATAACAATAACAACAGCAGCTGAAACAGGCAATCTATTCGTTAATCATCGTTTTAAGTGGACGGTTGTGCTTGTTGGTGGTGTCTTTGCTTAATTATACATAAATAAAATTTGCAAAAATTTCTTGTGTAAATATTTTTTTGTATATAACAAAAATAATATAAATTGATTTTAAACAAAAGCATGTAAGTACAAGCAATTGGAATTATCTTTAGGTACAGGGATTTTCGAAATAATGCAAGTTCAATGAAATAGTTTAATAATGAAAATTGGAAATGATAATCCAATTAATGTATTTATGTATTTATTATTAAACTATTGATATAATTTAAATAACAATTTTCAGCCTCAAATCACTTTTATAGCTTGACCTGAACAGATTTTCATAAACAAACACAGCCACACTCACAATCAACAATAACAATATGAGTGTCTCAGCCGCTCATCATCAGCATTATCTTATGAACTGGCTTCGTAAGCTTTGTCTTGTTGTTTTGGTCTTGTTTGTTTTTTTGCAAACTGATAAGAATGGCGTAGCTGCTCTAAACAAAAACTATCATTTGGGTCGTTCTTGGCATGGTTTCCTTGGTGAACCCAGTAAAATTCCTACTTTACAAAGTACCCATGAAGTTGCTGATTTATGGTTCGAACAACGTTTGGATCATTTTAACGATAAAAACGCGGCCACCTGGAAGCAACGTTATTTTGTCAATGAACAATACTATCGTAATGATACGACTGCACCTATTTTCATAATGATTGGTGGAGAAGCAGAAGCTGCCAAAAAGTGGATGCATGAAGGTGCCTGGATACATTATGCTGAACATTTTGGTGCTTTATGTTTTCAGCTGGAACATCGTTTCTACGGCAAATCGAGACCAACAAGGTAAGTGAGAATAAAGGAAAATAAAACTTTCTAATGTCCCATCCTAGCATCAACATTGAAAGATTTTTGTTATCGATTTCAATACGCCCACTTTAAAGTACAGAAATGTAATTGTTTGGTGTTTTCTACTCTTGTATAACTTGCAATCAAATTACTGTTCGAAATGTTATAAAAGAATATTTTTGATTCGAAACTTTATTTAGAAAGCATTTACTTTCTTTTCAGTGATTTATCTACCTCCAACTTGCAATATTTAACTTCAAAACAAGCTTTAGCTGATTTGGCATCATTTATTTTGGCCATGAAACAACAATATAACTTGGCACCAACCCAAAAATGGATTGCATTTGGTGGTTCTTATCCAGGCTCATTAGCTGCATGGGCTAGAGAAAAATATCCCGATTTAATTTACGGATCTATAAGTTCAAGTGGACCACTATTGGCTAAAGTTGATTTTACCGGTAAAATACGGTTACTAAAACTCAAATAACGATTTTAACTTAAATTATTTATAGAATATTTTGATGTGGTCAGAGATTCCTTGAAAAGTTATAAGCCCGAATGTGTGGATGTTGTAAGTAAAGGTTTTGCACAAGTGGAAATTCTTATGCGACACATGATTGGTCAACGTAATTTAGATGAAAAATTCAAGTAGGTTGCTAAAAAAATATTTATTAAGATTATAACTAATCGTGGAAAATAATTTAGAACCTGCACCCCCATTAAGGATTCCATTGAAAATAGTTTAGACATTTCCAATTTCTTTGAAAATGTAGCCGGAAATTTTGCTGGCGTAGTGCAATACAATAAGGATAATAGTCCCCATGCTACGATTACAATAGATCAGATATGTGATGTCATGCTAAATACTACCATGGGTCCACCCGTTACACGTTTGGCCGCTGTTAATGATATGCTTTT